GTGCCCCGCCTCCGGCGCCCTGTCTGGTCCACCGCCATTCTGCGGGTGGCGAGTACGAAGGAGGGTTCCTCCTGCAGACTTAACGGATTCCTGCAGACTCGCTGGGACGAAAGAATGGTTGAGACTATAAATTATTTACTACGATCACTTATTCCCTTGGTTCGATTTTTTTTAGAGGGGCTACCAGAGATTGAACTCAGGGGCACTCGACCACGGAGCCCCATCCCCAGCTCTATTTTGTTTTTATTTAGAGACAGGGTGTCACTGAGTTGCTTAGCTCTTCGCTTTGGCTGAGCCTGCTTTGAACGTGCGATCCTCCTGCTTCAGCGTCCCGAGCACCTGGGATTACAGGCATGTGCTACCGCGCCCAGCCCCTTGGTTCATTCTTGCAGCAAACAGGTACTAAGCATCTGCTATATGCTGGCCATATATGCTGGCACTGGATCCTCAGTAGTGAGCAAAGCTCAAACTTACCCTTGGGGTATTTACAGTCTCATAAAAGATAGGTCAGGTGGAGACCTGCCCAAAACGTCAAAATGTGTTCATGAGTAGTTGAGAGTTATCACCCTGAAAAGAGGCCAGCCTAGTCACTGGAGTTTCAAATAACAATAAAATAGAGACTGTGTCTTCCAGGAGCAATGTACACAATTACAATTAAAAGGTAAAGTGAGGCCCGGCCAGGTGGCGCACCGTGGCTCCGGAGGCTGCAATTTAAAGCCAGCTTAGCAATTTAGCAAGCCCCTAAGCAATTCACGGAGACCCTGTCTCTAAATTTAAAAATTTTAGAAGGGCAGGAGAGGTGGCTCAATGGTTAAGTGCCCCTTGGTTCAATTGCTGCTACTAAACAAACAAAAAGTACTGAGGAAAGAGCTCAGTGGTAGAGTATCCTGGGTTCAATCATCAATGATACACACAAGTACAAACGAAAGAGCCACAATTAAGGACTAGGGTTGTGGCTCAGGGGTATAGTGCTCCCCTGGAATGTGAGAGGCCCTGGATTTGATCCTCAGCATCACATAAATAAATAAAATCGAGATACTGTGTTCAGTTACAACAAAAAATAAATATTAAACAAGAGCAATAACTTAACATTTTGAAGTTGTACACCAATCAGTAGGCAAAGACAAATACAGCAAGCCTTTTTAAGTGGGGTAAGTTTCCAAATGAGACTTGGCCCACCCCTGAGCTTCCTATTAGATCAGGAAACAAATGTCATGGGATGCTTTGCTTTTGCTTGATAGAAGAAATGCACAGGTTCATCTGAGGAGACTTTTCCTGGCATTTTTTGAAAGCTGGCTAACCAGGTATGGTGGCACACTTCGTAATCCCAGCTTCTTGAGAAGCTGAGGCAGGAGGATGGCAAATTCCAGGCCAACCCCAGGGCAACTTAGTGAGACCCTCTCAAAATAAAATAAAATTAAAGGCTGGGGTTGTGGCTCAGTGGTAGAGCACTCAGCTAGCACAGGCAAGGCCCTGGGTTCGATCCTCAGCATCACATATAAATAAATAAAATAAAGGTACTGTGTCCAGCTACAACTAAAAAATATTTTTTTAAAAAATTAAAGTCTGGGGCTGGGGATGTGGCTCAAGCGGTAGCGTGCTCGCCTGGCATGCAGTGCGGCCCGGGTTCGATCCTCAGCACCACATACCAACAAAGATGTTGTGTCCGCCGAGAACTAAAAAATAAATATTAAAAATTCTCTCTCTCTCTCCCCCCCTCACTCTCTCTTTAAAAAAAAAAAAAAAAAAAAAATTAAAGTCTGTAGCTCAGTGGTAGAGAACTCCTGTGCTCAATCCCTAATACCATTAATAAATAAATAGGGACTGGGGTTGTAGCTCAATGGCAGAGCGCTTGCCTAGCACATGTGAAGCACTGGTTCAATCCTCAGCACCACATTAAAAATAAATTTTATACATATATAATATGTATATTATATATATTAATGTATCTGTGTAGGTAGTCAATATTTTCTGAAAGAACATACAAAACTAGATGAGGGTTACCTGTCGAGAGGTATTGAGCAATGTTCCATTTACACTTCCTCCTTGACTGCCCCACGGAGAAAATGGCCATGCTGATCCAGTTTGTTTCATAAACAACTTGAGTTCAGTATTTAAATATTCATGAGCAGAAGCTACAGAACAATAAGTCTCAGCTCTGATGGCACATTGGGGGTGGGAAGGCCTTAAAAAAATACTGTTATGGGGGGCTGGGGTTTTGGCTCAGTAGCAGAGCGCTTGCCTCACACGTATGAGGCACTGGGTTTGATCCTCAGCAACAAATTAAAAAAAAAAAATGAATAGAGGTGTTGTGTGCATCTACAACTAAAAATAAATACATAAAAATACTGTTATGGGGTTGGAGTTAGTGGTGCACACGGGTAATCCCAGTGTCTCTGGAAGCTAAAGCAGGAGGATCACAAGCTCAAGGCCAGCCTCAGCAACTTATTGAGATCCTGTCTCAAATACAAAGAGTGGAGATATGGCTCAGTGGTTAAATGTCTCTGGATTAAATCTCCAGTAATAAAAGCAAAAAAAAAGGAGGGGGGTGGGAGGGTTGAGGATGTGGTACATAAATTAAGCACCCTTGGGTTTAATACCTGATACAAAAAAAAAATCCAAAAATACTTATCTGGGTTCATCCCCCAAAACTGACTTAATAAGAATAGAGCGCAAGCAGGTATGGTGGCGCATACCTATAATCCCAGCAGTTCAGGAGGCTGAGGCAGGAGGATCTTGAGTTCAAAGCCAACCTCAGCAAAAGTGAGGCACTTTATCAGCTCATTGGGACCCTGTCTCTAAATAAAATACAAAATAGAGCTAGGAATGTGTGGCTCAGTGATGCCCGAATTCAATCCCTGGTACCCCCCCCCCAAAAAAGGAATGGGGTGCAGACTCACTAAGTGTGGTAACGCATACTTATAATCCATCACCAAGTTCAAATCCAGCCTCAGTAACTTAGTGAGACTCTGTCTCAAAATGTAAAATTTAAAATAGGGGGAAGGGGAAGATGGGGATGTAAAAGCTCCGTGGTAAAACACTCCTGGATTCAATTCTCAGTATAGTACTTACAAAGAAAAAAAAACGAAATCACTTAAATGATTCCTCAATGACCAGTATAACCCAAATGTAAGAACCAAGCATCTGAGATCACAAGGCAGTATGACCAACAGGACCTCCCCCCACATTAGAATTTGAGGCCCAAAGGAAGGACACAGGATATGTTCATTGCGCTTAGTCTGTGCCATCCCTCAGCATTCACTACTCTGTAGACTCAGTTGACCAAAGCAGGTCTAGACTGTGATTTTTTTTGGCTTCCTCATACTTTGGTTTTTGCCATTGTTAGTCTTAGAAAAAAAAAATTTTAAGACTTCCCTCCTACACTAGATTTCTACAAACTCAACAACAAGGAAAACTGATAAGTCTTGCAAAAGCCCTCGATGTCTTAAGTTTGTTGTTAGCTACATTTTCAGCCTCATATCTTGGCAATATTTCTTAAAGGAGTGAAAAATATAGAAGTACTTCTAAAGAACCAATTTAGAGCCAGATGGAAGTGGCACAGTCCTGTAATCCCAGCCTCAAGTAGGAGAATTGTAATTTAAGCCCAGCATGGGCAATATAGACTGTCTCAAAATAAAAAGAACTAGGGTGTAGTTCAGGGGTAGAGTATCTGGGCTTAACATTCAGTACTGCCAAAAATAAAAATAAAAAATAAAATTTAGCAACTTTCTCTTACTAATTCCATAATTATTTTTTCCAGATTAATTAAGATAGGTAATTCAAAAATATAAAAGCTGACCAGCAAAAAGGAAAAAAATGGCAAATTCCAAAAAAACCCTATTACATCAACAAGTATTCACAAACTTGTGTGATTTATACAGGTGTCATCATTTAGGCAAGTTTTCTCCAAATGAAATGCTTTTTTTTTTTTTAAACAAGAAAAAGTTTTCCTCTTGAATACAACAAACACATTCTCTCTTAAGAAAAACGAACTCAGCCTCAAACACTTAGTCTAACAATTAATTTAGTAGAATGAGCTCAACCTGATAATCTAAAGAATACATTTTTAGTTTTAAAATAATTTGAAGTTAACATTGATATCTTTTAAAAAGGATATCTGAAGAGGCAGACATCATATATTTTATTACAATGTATTTTAAAAATGTGGGCAGTTACAATTGAGACAAAACCAGTTTCATACCAAAAATACACTTTCAAATACTTTATCAAGCAAATAAAAACAATCTTCATTTATTTGCTCTTTCCAGAAGGTAATATACAATAGAAATTCAATATTGTATGACAGACATGTAATTAAGTACACATACAAAATGAATATGTATTGAATTTTCAGAAACAAAAGTAAAAATAAATAGCGATGATAAAACTTTGGAAAAAATAATGCCTATTTTAGTTGTTGAAAATATGATTTTTAATTATATACACATAGAGATATACACTTAATAAAAAGCTATTTCTTTAAGATTGCACAAAACATAAAACAATAAAGCATATATTATGGCATGTAATACTATAATCCTAGGGCAGTTTGTTCCTTAACTCCAGGATATAAAACACTTAGGTCTGTAATATAATAAAAGGTTTGCAGTATTGCTGAGAAAGATTGTCTTCCTCAACTCATATTAATCTGCAATAATCCTACAAAAGGCTGTACAGGAAATTTCACAAAAAGAAATATTAAATAATTATTGTGCCCACTCCATGCTGACTAAACAGCTAAAAATGGGCTTCAAAAGTAAACTTGGTGGTTATTTAATATTTTCAATACTTTATACTAACGATTGTTTCTTTGTTCTATAAAAACACTTTGTGTTTGATCATGATTGGCAATCTCAGCACAAGAAAAACCCTGGCAAAATGGAGTCAGTTTTTGCTTACAATATTTTCATGAATAATGTGTGTCAAGAGATAGGAATTTATAGAAAAGAAACACTAATGCTCATTCCCTTATAACCAGACTGTAATCAGGAGTGCTCTTACATTATTTAAAAATTATTTAAACTCCTTTATAAGAAAATCAAAGGTAGTAGCATTTTCATTTATATCATGGTACAGCCCTCAATTCCAAGAAAAATACTCTTTTGGCAACCAGAAAAAATTGCACAAAGCTTAGGGGCAACCTGAAAAGCTCTTGGTGAAAATCACTTATGTATTTTAGGAACAATAAAAAAATATGTATGGGCCTAATATTTACATTCAAATATATACATTCGAAACAGTCATAAGTTAGCTATTCAGCTGCTCAATACCAACAATTCACAGGCATTAAAAAAAGATGAAAATGTGCCCACAATATCTGTGACCACATTTGAATGCATAGAATACAGTAAAGACAATGGTTCTTCAGTCTGTTACCTACCAAAACTAAAGAACAAAACTGTTTATATTTTGAAAGCCATACAACAAAAAGGACTGGGCAAGTATTTTATTAATTCATGAGACATACTAAGTACTACTGATTTCACTCATTTGCTCAACAACTTGCCCTAAAATCTCATCAACTACATCAACATCATAATTCACTTGCTGAAGATCAAGATCAGGTACAATCATGGCCAGCAGTTGTCCTACATTAACTCGAAGAGATCGAAGTTTGAGGCTGCAAATACAAATAGGCGACTCATTAGATGAATAACAGTATAGATTACCCCACACACAGAATTTTAAAGTGAAAATGTTAGAATCAACTCTTTGCAAAATGAAACAGAGTTAAAAGAAAACTTAGTGGTTATTTAATATTTTCAATACTTTATACTAACGATTGTTTCTTTGTTCTATAAAAACACTTTGTTTGATCATGATTGGCAATCTCAGCACAAGAAAAACCCTGGCAAAATGGAGTCAGATTTAAAAAGAAAAGCAAAACTTCACTTGAAGAACTGGATTTAATCATTCATTTTATGCATTAGATTCATTAGATTTTAATCTCCTTACCCATCAAATGCTAGCCCAGGTCAAAGCACAGCGTTTCTACAATTACTTGCTTGGTCTGGTCCCTATTTATACTTTTAATTTGCAGACTGAAGAAAACATGGACTAGCAAAATATCTAATTTAAGTATCATTATCACCTGGAAAATAGTGATATGCTAGACAGCTTAAGGAAATGATTAAGAGCATGGAAAGCATACAGAATGGAGAAGATCTTGGCCAGCTACTCCTCCAATAGGGGATTAATATCCAAATATACAAAGAACTAAAAATATTTAACACCAAAAAAAAAACAAATCACCCAATCAATAAATGGGCAAAAGAACTAAACAGAAACTTCTTAATAGAAGAAACACAAAAGGCCAATAAATATATGATATAATGTTTAATATCTCTAACAGTCAGGGAAATGCAAATTAAAACCTCATTAAGATTCTATCTCGGGGCTGGGGATGTGGCTCAAGTGGTATCGTGCTCGCCTGGCATGCGTGCAGTCAGGGTTCGATCCTCAGCACCACATACAAACAAAGATGTTGTGTCCTCCGAAAACTAAAATAAATAAATAAATAAATATTTCAAAAGAAAAAAAGATTCTATCTCACTCCAGTCAGAATGGCAATGATCAAGAATATAAACAACAGGCCAGGCTCAGTGGTGCATGTCTGTATCCTAGCAGCTCATGAGGCTGAAACAGGAGTTCAAAGCCAGCCTCAGCAATGGCAAGGTACTAAGCAATTCAGTGAGACCCTGTCTCTAAATAAAATTATGAAATACAAAATAGGGCTGGGGATGTGGTTCAGTGCTTGGGTGCTCCTGAGTTCAATCCAAAAAAAATAAGAATGTAAACAACAAGCCAAGCATGATGACACACACCTGTAATCCCAGTGACTGGTGAGGCTGAGGCAAGAGGATCCCAAATTCAAACCCAGCCTCAGTAACTTAGCAAGACCCTGTCTCTTGATAAAATATAAATAAGAAGGGCTGGGGTTGTGGCTCAGTGGTAGCGCACTCATCTGGTATGTGTGAGGCACTGGGTTGGATCCTCAGCACCACATAAAAATAAATAAATAAAAGTTTTGTGTCCATCTATAACTTAAAAAAAATTAAATATATATATAAAAGCACGGGAGACATGGCTCGGTGGTTGAGCACTCCTGGAGTCAATCCCTGGTACAAAAAAAAAAAAAAAAACAATAAATGCTGGACAGGTTGTGGGGAGAAAGGAACACTGATTGTTAGAGGACTGCAGACAAGTACAACCACTCTCTCAAATATCACAAAAAAATAATGTACATAAAATGGAAAGCAGTTGGAAATTCCTCAAAAAACTAGGCATGGAACTACCATATGTCCCAGCTATCCCACTCCTGAGTATTTTCTTAAAAAAAAAAAACTAAAAAAACTAAAATCAGCATACTAGGCAACACAGCCACATCAATGTTCATAGCAGCACAGCTCATAAGAATCTAAAATTATGGAATCAACCCAGATGCCCATCAACAGATGAATGGTTTTAGAAAGTGTGGTGTGTGTGTGTGTATATATATCTTTCTTTTTTATTTGAGGCAGGGTCTCGCTAATTTGCTTAGAGCCTTGCTAAATTGCTGAGGGTGACTCTGAACTTGTGATCCTCCTGCCTCAGTCCCCAAGCCATTGGGATTACCTGTCTCAAACCATTTTTTGTTCCTTCTAGGTTCTTTCACTTAAACAGAACCTTAACTGAAGGGATAATGATGTTACCTCTTTTGAATCTGTACAGAACACTGGGATGACAGCAGACATCAATGACTTCTTTTCATAGAACAATATTTAATGTGTGTTAATAGAAAAAAACAGCATTCTACTCTAACTGCAGCCCCAGCAAAATACCTCATTAAATATTACCTTTCCCCATCTGCATAATTTACAGACTCCTCAATGTTACTTGAAGTTGAAACATCGGTTCCTCTCTGAGGACTTGCAGATTTTAACTGTTCAATTTCAGTTTTGAGTTCTTCACACCGAGAACGAATCTGTGATTTTTCCATTTCCAATAATTCAACCTGACAAAAACATAAATTAACTTTATAACTAAAATTTAAAAATACTGTTGAAGTGCAAATTTAAAGTAAGAAATAGAAAACTGGCATGATAAAAATTTCCAATTATCAAAAAATGTTAAATACACCCAATAATTTTACACAAAGTTTCATTTGTTTAGCTTTACTTCTACATCTTTTTATAGTAAAAGAAAACAAAATATTAATAACTACATGAATGGTACCTAAAAATTGAAACTTTGAAAGACACTAATGCCTAAATTTTGCTGTCACTGTGGTTTTCATTTCTTACACACTTAATACCAACTTATAAGCTTGTATTGACTGTTATATATTTTGTCATCTAGATCCTGACCTAACATATCATGAAGAATGTCTGAATGAACAGTTATGTCAGCAATATTTCCAGAAAGGAGCAAGGAAACTCTCTGAAACATTACAAAATATAATGTACATAAAATAGATTAAAAAGGAGCTTCTTAGATTTCAAGTGGAAGCTTATGCACAGGCTACCTACCAATTATTTCCTGGTAACTACTGTTTCTCTCTTTCTTCAGTAAAAGACCCCTTAGACCGATTCCATTTCCCTGACAGGCACCCACTAACCAGGTGACTTAAGTTCTGCAAGATGGACTACAAGCAACTGCAAGAAACTATACCCCTTCTCTTTCTTGCAGCTTGGAAAGCAGATATGATGGCTGGTCCTGAAGAGCCATCTGAGAACACAACTGCATAATGAGAAGCAAAGGAACAATTAAGAAGTCTGTTTTTGGTAACTTCGAGATATTGTGCCATTTGAGAACAAACCTAATCCTCAGAGAGTTCATCTATAAGATATGGATATCAACATCTAACTCATTATGGTTATTGAAAGGCATACTAATAATGGATGCAAAATTCTGACTATATTGAGGAATTAAGTATGTAAAAGGGATGGTATCGGTATTCTGAACAAGATAATAATCTATCTTACAGCTATATCCTGTGCACTACAGAACTTACCTTTATCTAGATAGATCTACTCTTTTCCAGCAATCTCCTCAAATGTTAACCAAATACACCTACATCAACTACATGCCCCCAATAGGCCCAACCCCCTTGTTAAGAACCAGGAGAGTAACAAACACTTATTTATGAAATGAAAGTTCTCCAATCTAGCAGTTCCTTAAGTTTTAAATAGCTCTGGACTTTCAAGACTATGTGAAATGATATAACTCACCTCATTTTTGTACTGGTCCCTCTCAATACTGCATTTGTCCAGTTGCCTAAATACACTGTCAAGCTGCACAGCCATTTCATCCATCTCACTTTTACTCTCAGTATTAGAACACTGGCTGCATTCAGCCTTTACATGTTGCAAAGCACTACACTGTTTTTTCAGCCTTTCTATTTCTTCCAAAGCTTGCCGATACTGAGATACCACATGGTCTGGACTTTCAGATTTGCCATTAATACTCTCAAGTAAAAAAACATCAGTTTCAGTAGACTGATGACAAGTTTCCTTCTTCACATATTTGTCATTCATTTCTAGTATTCGTTGTTGTAATACTTTGATTTGGTCTGTAAATGTATGACACTGTCTCTTATAATTATCTTTTTCTTGAGTGACTAAAAGTAGTTCATTTCTCAGCTCCTGTAATTGGCAACCAACATCATCTGCAGCCTTAGCAAAGGTTTCCTGGGCTTCCTGTATCTTTCCTTCAGCATCTACGCAGGAGGGCAGTATTGCTATATCATTTCTTATATCTATCTCATCTTCAATAATTTCTTCCTTTTTAATAACTAAACTTGGTGCTTCCGTCTGGGTGGCTGCAGTAGTACCCTGATCACACCTGGATGATGCAGTGCTTGTTGAGTTAGCCTGCCCACAAGGTTTAGCACTGCCCACAAGCTCAACTTGAACACTACTTTGTTCAATGTGACTCTGTTCTAGTTTAACTTCAACATCATGATCTACTGCAGGTTTGGGAGTACTGTTTTCTTCTAAGATGATCACATCTTCATCATCATCATTGTCATCTTTGTGAGCTGAATTTTCAAAAGTCTGATTACTTAATCTCCGATTCTTTGCATTCAAAATTGAGGAACGAGTAGAAAGCCTCCGTTTTAGGCTGGAAAAAAATTATATATAAAATGTAAGATTATAAATTACAAACAAGGGGCTGGGGATGTGGCTCAAGCGGTAGCGCGCTCGCCTGGCATGCGTGCGGCCCGGGTTCGATCCTCAGCACCACATACCAACAAAGATGTTGTGTCCGCCGAGAACTAAAAAAATAAATATTTAAAATTCTCTCTCTCTCTCTCTCTCTCCTCTCTCACTCTCTCTTTAAAAAAAAAAAAAATTACAAACAAAATGGATGACCATTAAGTAATGATTCTAACAAATGCACTATTATAAATTTTTTAAAATAATAATAATTATTATTACTATTATTTTGGGGGTAGTATGGGATTGAACCCAGGGATGTTCTAACATTGAGCTACATTCCCAGCCATTTTAACATTTTTATTTTTTTAAATATTTTATTTTAGTTATAGTTGGACACAATACCTTTATTTTATTTTTATGTGGTGCTGAGAATCGAACCCAGCACCCCTCACGTGCTTGGTGAGCACTGTACCACTGAGCCACAACCTCAGCCCCTTAACGTTTTTATTTTAAGACAGGGTCTCACTACTGAGGCTGGCTTCAAACTTGTGATCCTCCAGCCTCAGCCTCCTGAGGAGTGCCACTGTGCCCAGCATTATCTTAAACTTTTAATAAATGCCCATGCTCAACAAATTAAAAAAAAAAAAAAAAAAAAAGCCCATGCTCATTAAAAAAAACAAAAACAGATTTACAGAATTGATCATTGAATCGATGAAGTCATTATTTTCTCCTTTTACAGATCAGGAAATAGTTGACTATTGAGATCTCCTTCAAGCACTAGATCTGTATACTGTAAAAGATCTCTTCATCTGAGCTCTTTGGAGCATTTCAAAGAATACATACCCAAAACATAAGGTCCCCACCCCAGATCTTATCTTTGTATTTTCTAGGGAATAGCACTTCCATTTTCATTTGTGCATCATAGTTTTTAATCAGCATTCAATGACCAAAGGTAAACCATAAAGCAAACTAGTATTCCCTATCATTTCAAATAGAACAGTTTCCCTGAATTAAACCTGCCTCATTTTCCATTTATATTTTGTGTAATTACTAATGTATTTGAGGTTAAATACATACTTACATACTTTTATTTTTCCTTAATAATATCTGTTTCTTTTCTTTTTTGGTACCAGAGATTGGACTCAGGGACACTCAACCACTAAGCCACATCCCCAGCCCTTTTTATTTTATTTAGAGACATGGTCTCACAGAGTTGTTTAGCTCCTTGCTTTTGCTGAGGCTTTGAACTTGCTATCCTCCTGCCTCAGCCTCCCAAGCAACTGTGATTACAGACATGAACTACCATGCTGGGCCTAAAACCTGCTTCATTTTTTTTTTTTTTAAGTTGTAGACAGACACAATACCTCTATTTAATTAATTTATTTTTATGTGGTACTGAGGATCAAACCCAGTGCTTCACACATGCAAGGTGAGTGCTCTACCACTGAGCCACAACACCAGTCCTCATTTTCTTTATGTAGTTTCCTGTCAATTTATCACCAATGGATTACTTTTTCCACACTTGGAGGGCTATCTATACTGGTTTACTATTTGGGCAGTATGTTTGGCAACCTTGAGGATGAAGGAAAATTTAGACAATAAAAGCAAAGTAATTTGTCCTTAAGATATTTTACACTCATATAAACTGTAATTGCCTAGAATTGCACTATTGCCATAGGAATGTCACATAAAGGCTCAATTCAATATTCCACAAATAGAAAAACACAACAAACCTGTTGTTCTCAGGTTCAGACTGAGGTGAAACTCGATGATTATTTATAGGTCTTGTTGGATAGGAATTTGTCACTTCTGAATGATGTCCCCTTGAAATACTTTCCCTCACAGGAGAAAAACTCTGACTTGAAACAGGGGTTGTCCGAAACAGTTCAGCATTAATCTGTTGGAGGACCAAAAACAGATCTTTAAAAGAACTATCTAAATGTTACGAAGCACAAGATACAAGCTTCTCTTTTCCCATTATCTCATGGGATATTGAGAACTATCCTAAATATATGCTAACCAGGGAGTAAAAATACACCAATAAGCCAAATCCAGCCTAGAAATGGGCTAAAAATGGTTTTACATTTTTAAAGGATGTAAACACAAGAAAAAATATGCAATTAAAAACTCTGTGGGGGGGCTGGGGTTGTGACTCAGTGGTGGAGTACTTGCCTAGCATGTTTGAGGTACTGGGTTTATTCCCAGCACTGCATACAAATAAATAAAACCAAAGGTCCATTGACATCTTAAAAAAAAAAAAAAAAAAAAAACCACAATCTATGTGGGACTGGGGATATAGCTTAGTTGGTAGAGTGCTTGCCTCACATACACAAAGCCCCAGCTTCAATTCCCAGAACCAGATTAAAAAACAAAAACACACACAAACAAACAAAAAAACATACACAAACCCAAAAAAAGAGTTAGTAATGTGGTGACACTATAGTATAGGACTTTCTGAGAGATGCTAAGAATATATTTTTTGAGAAAGGAATGGAAGATATACATAAACCAAAATAAACCCACTCTTCTTTTTCCTTCAAGATCTTTCACCCCTAAACCCTCTACACTAAAACATTTCAATGAAATTTTAAGCAAACATACACATCCCACAGGAGATTAAAACTCCTTATATAAGAAATGTAACTACTCAGCAAAATTCCTTAATATCAGTAAGCAATAAGAAAGAAATGTGAAGGGCAGTCTGAGAAGTCAACAAAGGAGAAGAAATCACCAGCTTTGGATCATTTTCTCTGGGTGGCCCTGTGACTCTTTCTTTCCTCAACTGCCTAATAGTAAGATTCTTTTTATTTTTTTAATTTTAAAGGTACTGGGGAATATTCCACCTCTGAGCTACATCTCCAGTCCTTTTTTAAAACTTTGAGACAAGATCTTATTAAATAGATGAGGCTGACCTTCTTCTGCCTCAGCCTCTGAGTAGCTGGGATTACAGTCACTTCAACTAGCTAACAGTAAGATTCTTATTATAAGACTTTGTTTTGCTTTTACTCAGATGATGCCCAACTAAATACAACTGAACACTCTGAATGAGTTGCTTGGTTAAAAAGTTAAGAGTCAGAAAAGAGGGCATGGAGGGGTAGAAGGGGGAGGGGGAGGATTGTGAAATAAATAAACAATATTCCTTCAATCTGTTACGAAAATCCAAAATGTAAAAGGCAATTATTGGAGCCGGGGTTGTGGCTCAGTGGTAGAACACTCGCCTAGCATGTGTGAGGCACTGAGTTCAATCCTCAGCACCACATAAAGTGAAATAAAGACACTGTGTCCACCTGTAACTAAAAAAGTTAAAATTAAAAAAAAAAAAAAGGCAATTATTGGTTAAAGCTATGTACTACTAAAATTAATCCACAGCTATGAAATGGAAAGCTTAATTACCCGTGGTATCACTTCTGGTTGTCTGATCCTGAATTTTTCTTTGTTGCTTTAAAAGAAAAGATGAAAAATGAACATTTAAATTTACCTCATTTTTACACCTCCATCCCATTTCCTAATGTTATACCTGCTCCTTCACTACCAATTACTCAGATATGTGCACTAAACTTTGCTTTAATTTCATTATAAAGAGTGGCAAACCCTTAGAAAAGGGAATACTTTTTATATTTTTAATTAACTTTTAAACAAAATTTTGTATCCCTACAGACCTGAACTGCAAATCTTTAAACTAGAATATCACATAGGCTTCTAACTGGTTTCTTTAGTTCTAATACAGCTATTAAATTTAACTAAAGAATAGTACACCAGAAAGATTTTTAGTGAAGTCAGCTTCTGTGTACAGTAGTACATTAGCCTTAAGTTTTCCCATCTTATTTGCTCCACTTCCATTTTGCATTATTACCACTCACATATTTACTCTAATTAGGCTCTTACCCATCCTGCAAAGCCTATTATAAAAATGACCTTCTTCATGGAAGTTTCATGACCTATTTCTACCCACCAGCTCTGCAACCCCAGCTAGAGGACTCTCCTTAAGAGCTTCCTTATAATATTACAATGTACCTTTCACAACACTCGCAAACTTCTAATTTGTAACACACACACATCACCTTCTCTGTTAAGACTGTTAGTTCCTAAGGGTAATGTGTTCACTTACAGTTCATGAACAGTTCAAAATGATCAAAATACTTTATATAACTTATAAATAGGATAGCAATACCACCAAGTGATGAAGAAAAAGATGTTCACAGCACAAACTTAAGAAAACACAGTGCTTGATATTATGCATTCCATATCATCTTTTTTAGTTATACTAGCTTTGCCTTGGGGGAAACATCAATTAATGCTGCCAAACATTGCTACTTATGATTTAAGCATCATATCCTCACCAGACATGAATACAGCACTTACTTCTTTTTGTAGGTTTTTTCATAAGTGGGATGTACCAAATCTTCATCTTCAGGTTCTTCTGGAACGTCACAGTTTCTAGACAAAAATCAAATAGGAATAACATGTTACCAGTGCCTATTCATACATATTAAAAAGCACTTTCTGCCTTTTCAAAAAGGGTACTACCAACTATATGGTACCTGAACTGTGGGTCAGGGTTATTGGAGCAATACCATTTTTCTGGAAGTTGATCTATCCCATCTGGTAATTTTCGCCACTTCAGACAGGAATCACACTGAACCCACATTTGATCAGGACGTTTCCTGTAACAAAACAAAACCAACACTGTAGGGATACAGACCCCTGGGCTGGGGTTGTGGCTCAGGGGTAGACAACTTGCCTAGCATGTGTGAGGCCTTGGTTCAATCCTTTTTAAATAATAAAAAGGCATTCTGTCCATCTACTACTAAAAAAACTTTTAGAATTTAAAAAATATAAAAAAGAAAAGAAATATAGACCCTTAAGGACTTTATTTGATTTTTATATTATTTCTAGCACAAAATGTCTAGTCACTGAACTCTTTTCCTGAAAAATCTGTGACATAGCTATTATTATTATACATATTTAAAAAAATGATATTGGCTGTCTCCAAAAAGTTAAATAAAGGTCATAGGTCAATTTGAACAAATTTTATGTTTAATAACATACTATTAAATTTGTTTGATGATAATAACAACTTAAAAAATTACAAATGCCTTCTGAAATTTACATTAAGTTAGCATCTAGGACTGAGGTTGTAGCTCTGTGGTAGAGCCCTTGCCTAGCATGTGTGAGGCCCTGGGCTTGAGTTTCAGCATCACATACAAATAAAGCAATATAAAGTTCCATTGACAACTAAAAAAAATTTAAAAAAAAAAGTTAACATCTACAGTATTGAATCTATCTATAGTTTATTTATTAGCACAGTAAAACTCAGAAGTATAAAAAACAAAGAAACTACATTTCTATAATTTAACCAATTTTATGTTGTGTGTTCTTTTGCTTTCTTTTGTAATTATAGCATGTTTCTGAATTTGTCAAAATGTAAAAAAATTTGACATATAATATTGTACTTTTCTTTTTATGGAAGTTCATAGACTGCCCTTTTTATCTTTTTTTTTAAGAGAAAGAAAGAGAGAGAGAGAATTTTTTAATATTTATTTTTTAGTTTTCGGCGGACACAATATCTTTGTATGTGGTGCTGAGGATCGAACCTGGGCCGCACGCATGCCAGGCAAGCGCAATACCACTTGAGCCACATCTCCAGCCCCTTGCCTTTATATTTTTCTCATTGAAAATTACAAGTTCTATAAATAAGTTATGCAGACCCAGCTATTGCCCTTCTCGGACTATTCCCTGAAGACCTTAAAAGAGCGTACTATAGGGATACTGCTACATCGATGTTCATAGCGGCACAATTCACAATAGCTAGACTGTGGAACCAACTTAGATGCCCTTCAATAGATGAATGGATTAAAAAAATGTGGCATTTATACACAATGGAGTATTACTCAGCACTAAAGAATGACAAAATCATGGAATTTGCAGGGAAAAGGATGGCATTAGAGCAGATTATGCTAAGTGAAGCTAGCCAATCCCTAAAAAACAAATTCCAAATGTCTTCTTTGATATAAGGAGAGCAACTAAAAACAGAGCAGGGAGGAAGAGCATGAGAAAAAGATTAACATTAAACAGGGACGAGAGGTGGGAGGGAAAGGGAGAGAGAAGGGAAATTGCATGGAAATGGAAGGAGACCCTCATTGTTATACAAAATTACATATAAGAGGATGTGAGGGGAAAGGGAAAAAAATCAAGGGAGAAATATGAATTACAGTAGATGGGGTAGAGAGAGAAGATGAGAGGGGAGGGGAGGGGGGATAGTAGAAGATAGGAAAGAGCAGAATACAACAGACACTAGTATGGCAATATGTAAAAAACGTGGATGTGTAACCAATGTGATTCTGCAATCTGTATACGGGGTAAAAATGGGAGTTCATAACCCACTTGAATCAAATGTATAAAATATGATATGTCAAGAGCTTTGTAATATTTTGAACAACCAATAAAAAAAAAGTTATGCAGACCCATTTTAATATATTAAGACATCACCATAATGTCATAACATTTTTAATCTAGTTTTTAAAAAACAGGAAGGGGAGAGTCTGTGTTTGGCATACAGAAGATCCTAGAGTAAATCCCTAGCACCAAAACCACAGGATAAAAATTCATTTTATAGGGGCTGGGGATATAGCTCAGTTGGTAGAGTGCTTGCCTTGCATGCACAAGGTCCTAGGTTCGATCCCAGAACCACAAAAAAAAAAAAAAAAAAAAAGAAACCCTCATTTATATTGGTATACAAAACTTCAAAATAGTCCAGAAGTTTATGAAGTAAAAAGCTTTTCTTTCAGGAGACCACCTCTGTTAATTTTTTGAATCATGGAAAAAATTTTCCATGTTTATGAAAATACAGATGTGTATATGTATGCTCAAAAAAAAAAAAGTGGGGAGGGAATTTATACACTGAGCTGCATCTTTACTGTTTTTCATTACATCTGGGATATCTTTCCTTATTGATATATATAGATATTACTCATTTGTTTATAGGATTGTTAATATATGATATGTGTTATTAAGTACTTGTCAGGCATCATACCGTTAATACTTTATACATAAGCAGAACCAGAATCTGTACTTGTTTGGGTTTAGATTCATGCTCATAATGTTTACACTAGACCACTGTTTTTTCAAACTATAAAATGTAACTTGTTATGATTATGAAATCAATTTAATGTGTTGAGATGTGCATTTTAAAATGAAATAAGATATAAGCATGTATCATATAGATGGGTGAATACTGGCACGGGGTTCGATCTTAGCACCACATAAAAAATAAAATAAAATAAAATAAAGGCGTTGAGTCCATATACAACTAAAAAAATTTTAAAAAAGAGTTTGTGAAACAGTACAATCACTTTATTCTCCAATACCACATCTTGACAACAGAGTGAGTTGGTACTTTTTAAATGTACTTACTGTATATCTTCAACTGGCAAATTTAAAGGATATTCTGAATTTTTCTTCACTTTCATTTCATTCCAGTAATCATTCAACTTTTCTCCTAGTGCTGTTATTGTAAGTCTTTAAAAAGCAAAATTATAAAATCAAGAAAAAGCATAATAAAGATTTAATTTTTTCAAATACAAGAGAAAATGTAAATGATCTAAAAATCATTACATGGCCACCGTGAAAAGAAAAGATGTCCAGAATATATGACTAATAAAGAACATTCAAAGTAATGCCAAGTTCCTATAAGAACTTTTTGTAATTTCCTAGGAAAGAGAGAGGATCATCTTGGAAATAATACATAAAACAGTTGAAGAGTCCAGGATACAATCCGTAGCAGAACATTTGCCTAGTAAGTGTGAGATTCTGGGCTGGATCCCCATTCATTATAAAAAATAATAAGCAAGCAAACAAAATACTAGTGTAACAGGCCCTCCATTCAGAGGTATATTGTAAAGTAATTACTGGGAGACTACCAGAGGCTCCCTTCATTTCAATCCCAACCAAATTCAATTCAAATTAGAACTCAAAACTTTTTTTAAAAATATCTTATTTTTGTTTATTTATTCATTTATTTATTAAGGATCAAGCCCAGGGCCTCATGCACAAGGGGCAAGCACTCCACCACTGAGCTACAACTCCAGCCCCTCTTTTCTTTTTTTTTTTGATACCAGGAATTGAACTCAAGGACACTGCGCCACTAAGCCACATCCCTAGCCCTATTTTGTATTTTATTTAGAGACAGAGTCTCATTGAGTTGCTTAACACCTCATAGTTGCTAAGGCCAGATTTGAACTCAGGATCCTCCTGCCCTAGCCTCCCAAGCTGCTGTGATTACAGGCACGCGCCATGGAGCCTGGCAAAACTTTTGATTTATGAAAAGTACTCATCACTACCAGCAAAAAAATATTAATACTTCAAAAGATCTTCTTTTTTAGTTGTAGATGGACACATGCTTTATTTTGTTTACTTATTTTATGTGGTACTGGTGATCAAACCCAGGGCCTCACACATACTAGACAAGTGCTCTACCAGTGAGCTAAAATCCCAGCCCATCTTCAAAAGATCTTATACTTTACAATGAAGACTTTCACTTTTCCCACAATAAGACATTAATAAATTCATGAAACCAAGACAAAGGCCACAACTAAATAATTAATTATTCATTAAACAACTACTGTAAGAGAAACCACATACAAAGAACTTAAGAGATACAAATAATACAACATTTTGAATTTTTTACAAGTTTTTAAAAATCAGGATTTCATATTTTACACTCTGGCAGGTTAACATTAGGTAGAAACCACCTCGTAACCTACCCAACTCACCATGGCATCACATTCTAAGTCTAAATGGGAATGTATCACCCCTCCCAAACCTGCTCCTCTCCTCATATCCCTTGACTCACTCTCATCTTTTTCTCATTCCCTGTATTCCCTAGCCTGTGAGACATTACTCACTTTTGCAAGGTCATAAGGTGTGCACTGATACTCACTTAATAGTTTAACAGCTTTCAAAAACAATTAAGGGGGGGCATTGTGGCTCAGTGGTAGAGCACTCACCTAGCAAGTGCGAGGCCCTGGGTTTGCTCCTCAGCACTACATAAAAATAAATAAAATAAAGGTATTGTGTCCAACTACAAAAATAAACTAAAAAATAAATATTAAAAAATAAAATAAACAACAATTAACCATTTCCACAGATAGGATTTTTTTTTTTTTGGGGGGGTGGTGCTGTGTATTAAACCCAGAGGTGCCCTACCACTAAGGAATATCCCAGTCCTTTTAATTGTAAGACAGGATCTATGTTGGCCATATTGGCCTTGAATTTGCTGGGATTACAGATGTATGCCACCTTCTGCATAGGACTGGTGATTGAGTTCTAACTGCTCTATATTTTGCCAACATTAGTTATATCTTTTTCATTTTAAACAAGTGTTTCATTTTGCCAAGAGGAGCAACACTTTTGGGGTTCTGATCTGAAAACATGCCTTACGGGGCTAGGGTATTCCTCAGTTGTAGAGCTCTTGTCTAGCATGAGTGAGGCCCTTGGGTTCCATCCATAGCATCACTTACACCTACGCCCCCTAAAAAACATCAAAACCCAAACAAAACCAAAAACCCACATAACATTTTTTTTTCTCATTCAGGTTGAAAAAATCTAGAATTGCCTTTCATTTGAGTTAAGGTTCCTTTTGTCCATATGGAAGCCAAGTGACCCAGCAGTTTTTAGAAAGATGATCATTTTTCCATTACACAATGATGTAATCTTTGAGAAAAATCAGGTCACAAGATACATACAAAATATAAGTCCCTAAACTATCTATCCTATCACTAATACCAGACTTCCTTACTTACTACAACTTTGTAATAAATTAATATCTAGTAGCATTTAAGTACGTGTAAGTCCCCCTGCTTTGCTGTTCTTGAAATGACTGTCTTAGGTAGCTTTAATCCTCCCAAATTCTCACAAAGAATTTATAATAAGACTTTTAATATCAACACCATCACATATATGGCAAGATTAAAAAAAATCAAATGGTTTAATTCATTTAATCATTTAGAGAAAAACTTAGTTTGTAATTTTCAGCCCTCCAATTCTTTTTTTTAAAATTTTATTATTTTTTTATTTTTTAGTTGTAGATGATCACAATACCTTCAGTTATTTATTTTTATGTGGTCCTGGGGATTGAACCTAGTGCCTCACACATGCTAGGCGATTGCTCCATCACTGAGCTTCACAACTCCAGCCCTTCAGCCCTCCAATTTTTAACTCTGGTATACATACTTATTTACTTCTTAAATTTCTTTCTACATTATTTTATAGTTTGCAAGTCAGAGGTTTTTGCATGTTTTGAAAGTTTTATACACTTGTTACAATCAACACTAGATAATGAATTTTCTTCTACCTTTTTAATCCTTTTAATTTTAGTTTTCATTTATTCTTCCTACCTTGAACTAATTACTATTTCAAAAACAATGGTGAAGAGCTGATATCCTCATCCCATTCCCATTTTTTTAGAAGAAAGTTGTCAATAACAATTCACCATTAGAAATAATGCTTGCTGCTGGGTGCACACCTGTAATCCCAGCAGCTGGGGAGGCTGAAGCAGTAGGATCATGAGTTCAAAGCCTCAACTTACCGAGGTACTAAGCAACTCAATGAGACCCTGTCTCTAAATAAAATAAAAAATAGGGCTGGAGATGTGGCTCAGAGGTCGAGTAACCCTAAGTTCAATCCCCAGTACAAAAAAAAAAAAAAAATCAAGGTGATGAATTATACTGATTCTTGAATATTAAAACTGCACATGCTGGGCTGGGGTTGTGGCTCAGTGGTAGAATGCTCGCCTAGCATGCACGAGCACTGGGTTCGATCCTTAGCACCAATAAATGTAAAATAAAGATATGTGTCCACCTACAACCAAAAAATAAATATTAAAAAATAATACACATGCTATCTTCAGATATAGCTCACTTGGTTTTAATGGTATCTTTTTTACATGTCACTGGATTGTATGCTATTATTTTCAGATTTTATAACTAATTACAATTGACTAATTTTAATTAAGATGAGAGATTGATAAACATTTCCTTTCTTATAATGTTTTGAGCTTATTGTCCAGATTATGTGACCTCAGGATATCTTTAGAAGAGTTTGTGTATGACTGATACTACTTCTTCCTTAAATGTTTGAATTTAATATATGGGAAGTTTTCTAAGCAATGATTCAATTTCAAAGGAGTATGTCCATAAAAATAGTGAAAACTTGTTCAAGCTATCCTTTCAATGTTTTTATGCCTATAGGACCTACAGTGTCTTCCTTTTCACTTCCCATACTGATGATTCATATGTTCTTATTTTTTTCCCTTAGTCTTGCCAGATACTTATAGATTCTGTTAATCTTATTAAACAATCATTTGACTTTTTGATTATAACATTATTTGTTTATTGTTTTTCAGCTCCAAATTCCATCCATGTTCTGTACTCTGATGTTGTTTGAGTGGAGCACTGTACTCACAGAGGAGCTAGAGCTGTGGCTTTAGGCCATGCTTCTCCCACTAACAGCCCACTCCAGCAATACCAGGCACCTTCTTGAGATCAGGAATGGCCAGGCCTTCTTGCTACCTACTTAAAATTATTGACTTCTTATTTTGACTGTGGTGGTGTTGTTAATTTTTGATTTTTGTTTTTTTGGGTGGTGGTGCTGGGGATTGAATCCATGGCCTTAGGCATGCTAGGCAAATACTTTACCAACTGAGCTATATCCCCAGCCCCTCACTTATTTTGTAAATATTTTCAAAACTTTCTCCTCATCTAAATTTCTTGCCATAACATGGATATACATTTCATTTTACAAAATTAATACTACATTATAGAACTTTCAGGTAAATGGGTGGGTGAGGTGCTTACACAGAAAAGGCATTTAGCTATTTTCTTCCATCCTATAAATTCTAATCCATTCCAAGTGTATTCTACTATCTTTACTGATGAGATCTACTTCTGTGATTCATAAAAAATAAAGAAGATCCCAGATTTCTTAGTAATCCATTTCCAAAAATCTCAGTCAATAATTTAAATATGTAACATACCTGTACTCATTGGTATAGTCAAAATCTTGCTTATTATGAGTTGGCTTAAGGAAGTTACATTCTATAATTCCAACTACTCCAACACCCATGTTGTTTGCCTGAAAATAATAAAATAAAATCAGCATTTTAAGCATAACACATTGTGCTCAAAGTACTCTTAAAGATTCAAAATTTGTTTTTAAAAAATCATTAATCTGAGCTGGAGATGTGGCTCAAGTGGTAGCGCGCTCGCCTGGCATGCGTGCGGCCTGGGTTCGATCCTCAGCATCACATACAAACAAAGATGTTGTGTCCGCCAATAACTAAAAAAAAAATAAATAAAATATTAAATTTCTCTATCTCTTTCTCAAAAAAAATCTTTAAAAAGAAAAAAAATAATGCTTTAAAAAATCATTAATATATACTCACATGAGTCTCATGAAATTTAGACTGAATATTTTCATTTTTATTTTATTTTTCTGGGAGTTAATTACTAAATGTATTAAAGCTTTTCTCTTAAAGCATTCCAACCATACGTTTATACAAGTATTATCATCTCCAAATTTATACAAAGAAAAAAGAACTACCACAACCAGGATGCAATTTCTTTTTCTTTTCTTTTCTTTTTTTTTTAAAGAGAGAGAAAAGGAGAGAGAGAGAGAGAGGAAGAGAGAGAGAATCTTTAATATTTACTTATCTATTTTTAGTTTTCGGCAGACACAACATCTTTGTTTGTATGTGGTGCTGAGGATCGAACCCAGGCCACATGCATGCCAGGCGAGCATGCTACCGCTTGAGCCACATCCCCAGCCCAGGATGCAATTTCTTAAGACAGGAGAAACAAGAGGTAACTCATTGA